AGAGAGAGAGAGAGAGAGAGAGAGAGAGAGAGAGAGAGAGAGAGAGAGGTATCAAGAGCCCAGAGCCATCAGCAGGGAGACAAGTGGAGCCTGGGGCTTGGGAGGAAACTCCCATGTGTTTGCCTAAAGAGCAGTTCTTTTTAACTCAGGCCCATGTGAAGTTCTGTCCAGTTTGCTTAAAGACATGAATAGTTTCAGTGCAACCTACTTATTTTGATGGTAGAATACACGCAACACGATAATGTACAGATTTCAGTGTATAATTCAGCAGCACTAAGTATCTCTCGACACTGTGTACCAATACCACTCCTAGCTCCAGAAGTTTCTCACCCCAAACAGAAAGGCTATACCTGCTAAAGAATAATTCCCCATTTCCCCTGTGGTCACCTCCTGGCTACCATTGCTCTATGTTTGTATCAGTTTGCCTAGTCCAGGTCCTTCATGTAAGTGAAATAAGACATGGTTCATCCTTTCATGACCAGCTGATTTTATCAGTATGTCCTCAGAATCCATCCATGTTATAGCATGTGTCAGAATTGTGATTGACTAATATTCCATCCTATGGACAAGCCACATTTTGTCTAGCCTTTATTCATCAGTGGGCATTTGAGTTGTTCATACCCAGATGATCTATTTTATGTGCTTTATTTGTCTAGTCACTAAGATGAAGGAATTTATAAATTCTGGACCTCTTCTAACGGATCCTGGAGCTGCACTGGGCTTACATCACCCATAGGGACAGCTCTGACATGCAGTTCTAGCAAGAGAGGAGAGCAGGGTCTCCGGTGGCCTGAGACAAGGCCTCGAGTGCTTTCAATTCAGGCCCTTTAACAAGGAGTATCCATGTTAGGTTGTAGAGTACTTATTCATCAGGACGGCCAGCCCGCAAATATTGACACGGAGACTTATTATTAATTATGAAAGCTCAGCCTTAGCTTGGGCTTGTCCTCAACTAGTTCTTATAACTTAAATTAACATTGATATTAATCTACGTTCTGCCACGTGGCGTCACCTCGTCTCCATACTGTCCATCCTGCTTCCTCTGGTTCTGTCTGGCAACCCTCTGTGACCTACATTCCTCCTCCTCTTCCTCTCTCTCCACGGAAATCCTGCCTATCCTCTCCTGCCTAGCTATCGGCCATTCATCTTTTCACCACGCCAATCACAGTGACACATCTTCACACAGTCTATAAATATTCTACAACATTAGGTATGTCACTTGAGATTTCAAAACCCAGTATTATTTAATTTTTTTTAAAGAAATAGTCTATAACACGCCTGCTGCACAAAGCATAAGGACCTGAGTTTGAATCCCCAGCACCCACATAAAAGTCAAGTGTGGCATCATGTCTGTAGCCTCAGTGTGGGAGTCAAGGTAGAGGAAGGGGGGTCCGTGGAGTGGAAGAGCCAGCCTAGCATACCAGGTTAAATGGGAAACTGTGTCTCAAAAAGTTAGGTGGAGATGGCATCAGCCTCTGGCCTCCATATGCAGAAGTACATACATTCATGTGTGCACACCCCACACCAAGATGCACATATAACACACACACACACACACACACACACACACACACACACACACACACATATGCATACATTTGCAACACTGGAAAACAAGGCCTGCACAGGTCTGGGGCAGATGGGGTCCCAGTGCTGAGAGGGGGAGTGGACGTGAGCCTCCATCCATAACCTAGAAGCTGTCTCTGGTTGATAACTGCTCACAAAGGAAGAGTTAGTTTTCTCTAATGGAGTCTCACGGGGTATACAAACTACTCTGAAGGCCAGGCCCCATGCCCAGCAGTAGTTGGCTAACACAAAATGAAATCAATGGCATTTTTGAAGGTTCTTTGTCACATAATGCTTGATAAGGGCTCTATTATTATTATTATTATTATTATTATTATTCATTTACTCTAGAGGTATTACGTCAGTTTTGTGTTTTTTCTTTTTTTCTTTTTTTTTTTCTTTTTTTCTTTTTTTTTGGTTTTTCAAGACAGGGTTTCTCTGCGTAGCTTTGCGCCTTTCCTGGAGCTCACTTGGTAGCCCAGGCTGGCCTCGAACTCACAGAGATCCGCCTGGCTCTGCCTCCCGAGTGCTGGGATTAAAGGCGTGCGCCACCACCGCCCGGCCAGTTTTGTGTTTTTATGGGATGTCTGTATGTGTCACCACATCTATATGTTTCCTGAGCCTTTTCTTAGGCTCTTTTTCTTCTGTTTGTTTGTTTATCTCCTATTCTGGTTTATTTGTTTTTGTTTTATCTAATTTTATTTCATTTTTTTAGATGCCTGTTTGTATTCTAGTGAGAGAGAAAAGGAAAGGGTGTGGAATTGGGTGCTCGGGGAGTAGGGAAGGATCCAGGAGGAGTGAGGGAGAAGAAACCATAATCAGAATGTGTTTTGTGAAAAAAATCTATGTTCAAAATAAATAATAAATAAAGGGGGTGGGGTTGCTCTTTGAAACTCCCCACAAGGGCTCTTTCAGCCCCAATACTCCAGATTATACTGCTTTAATTCTAAACTTTAATTCTAAACTTTAATGAGGGTGACCAAGTGTCCACTGTGTTCCTAGGGGGGTACCACAGCTGTACCTTGGGGACCAGAGTGAGGCTGCCCACAGATACTTGCACTGTTAGGCTTGTTCCTGCTTAACCATTTGCTTCTTTGTGGGTTTTCTGTAGCTTTTCATCTACATACATGGGCCATCTCCCCATTAGCCACAGATCCCTGAGGCTAGGCCTTCTCGCATCTCCTCCCTCTCCACATCCCACAGCCTGGTCCACAGTGGCTCTAAACCCAACTTTGTTTTCTCCTCAGGGTTGACTGGACAGGCGATGAACCACCACCCTACCGACCTACATTCTCCGATGGCTGGCAGATTCCAGAGCCCTACTCCATGGTAAGGTTGCTTAGCACTGAGACCTACACAAAGCTCTTCCGGTTCAGATCAAAACCACATGACAATTAAGGGGTGGGTCATATGGGTACCTTTTGGGGAGGTAGACAATGGACAAGAGGCAGCGGTTACAGGCCTATTATGGTCTGGTACCTCTCCTGGCCACTGCACTGGCTACCTCCTATTCTAACCCACTCTGGTCTTGTTTCTTACAGGAACCCCTAAGAACCCAGGATTCTATTTCCCTCAGGTATGTCAAATGCTTAGTTGATGCTCACAGTCACAGGAAGGGAGATAGAGGGCAGAGCCTTTATACCTGTGGATCCCTACATCCCAGAGATCATCTGTACTTTCTCTTAGTCAGATACAGACATGTGCAAAGATGTCTCTCCTCTACCTCGAATGAAAATGCAGTTTCTTACCTCCTAGCCTCTGAAATGCTTCTTCATGTAGCCTCTAGTCCTCACAGTTCAGGTATAAAGTGCTCAGAGCAGAATCAAGATCCAGGAAATCCCACTAGTGGAAACGTTCTGAGAGATAAACGGCATTTCAGAGCCCCTCCTGTATGCAAAACCTCGTACCCCAATCCCTGCCTAACACTATTGCCATAAAACCCTATGGGAACCCAAAAAGTCACCAACAGACCGTACCTAGGAGTTCTAGGGCTCTTGTGGCTGGGCACGGTTCCCTTTTGCCAGCCACCCTGACTCTGTCTCTCACCTCAACTCCAGGAGGAGCAGCAGCCTGCGATTCCCTCAGGATGAGCCATACAACCACGGCTCCGAACACGAGGACTCACACCTCCCAGCCTCCAGCCCCAGGCCTGCCAAACGAGCCCTGAAAATGCAAGTCCTGTATGAGTTTGAAGCAAGGAATGCACAGGAACTGACTGTGGCCCAGGGAGAGGTTCTGGAGGTGAGGCCTATGCGTGAATCTAAAAAAAAAGAGGTGGTTGGTGGGAGATCCAGTGGCCTGGAGTGGGTGGCTTACAGAGAGAACAGGAAAGTGGGAATACCAGGGAAGGACAAAGCCTTGGGGAGAGAGGGGATGGGAGGACAGGGCTCTGGGGGCTGACGACGGGGTGACTCTTGTTAGGTTCTGGACCAGAGCAAGCGTTGGTGGCTGGTGGAGAATGAGGCAGGACAGACTGGTTACATTCCCAGCAACATCCTGGAGCCCCTGCCGGCGGGAGGCCCTGGAAGCCGGAGACCATCATCCTTTAGGGTACGACCCAGCCTAGAACACCCAGGAGCCCCGAGTCCTGAGTCAGAGCGGGTAGCAGGCAGGATTGGGTGACCAACGAAGATGATCATAGTTCGGTTGAATCAGTATCACTGCATGCTTCCTAGGTGCTAAGTTCATTGTAGGGTCTGGGCAAACATTAAGTCAGGATCCCTGCAAAACCAGAGAGAACCAGAAGGTAAGGTAAGTGGCTTGATGGAGCTCAGCAGAAGGGACCCAGTATGGGAGGCTGTGCGTGGCTGTGAGAGGGCATGACCTCTGATTTCAAGTGTCCCTTGAGTCTAGGCTCCAATGCTTCGTCTTAGCTCCAAGCCTGAGGAAGTCACAGCCTGGCTGCAAGCAGAGAACTTCTCCACTATGTGAGTGCCCAGTCCCACGGGGGAGGAGGGGAGAGCCTTGTAAAAGGCTCAGGTGAGAACTGTAGACCCCTTCCCCCTCAGAGACCCAAACGTGGAACCTAGCTTCCACTGTACGTGATGACTCCATCTTGGGCTTTCTTTACTAAACGAAGGAGGACAGGAGGAAGGTTGCTTGACTGAGCCCAGGGTAGGGCACCAGGTGGGAGACTGTATGTAGTGAAAGAGTCAAGGGTAGTGAATTCTGGAAGAACCTGGGCGGTCACCTTCACCACCCCTCCCTTCCAGAACATGCTCTTTCAAAGAGCTTGTGCCCTCAAGCGTAGGGGTTCTCTATCTGACTTGTTCCTGCACCGGCAGATACCTAATTCCCGGAACCCCACCTTTCCTGCTCTACACACACATTAAGGCTGAGCACCCCCAAACCCACCTCTGATGGATTCCACCATTGTTATTTACAGCACTGTAAGGACCCTTGGGTCCCTGATGGGGAATCAGCTACTTCACATGAGACTTGGGGAGCTGCAAATGCTGTGCCCACAGGAGGCCCCAAGGATCCAGGCCCGGCTGGATGCTGTCAGAAGGATGCTGGGGGTGAGGTCCTGACTCCCACCCAGTGGTTTTTTTAATCTTCTTGGGTTGAGAAAGAGAGAGCTGGGAACACTAGGTGTGGGATATTCCTCTGGGGACTCAGCTTCTCCACTCAGGTGTGTCTGGAAGCACTGATCATATTGGTAGCACGAACTCTGGGGATCCATCGCTTGGAACCAGCTCCATCTGAATTATTTTCTTCCTTTAGATGACTCATTAGATACCAGCTCAAATACCTTCAAGACCAAGGACCTCTCATATCCAAGATGGAGTATTTGGTACCCAGTCAGAGCCCTCAGAAGTCCTCTTTCAGTGTGTGGCAAACCACAGATCGCACAGCAAAGAAGATGACCAGATCCAGACTCTGAGGCAAACAGTACCCTTGCTGGGCTGGAACTCCTCTCCAGTTACTATTTATTTTACCCCTGTCGTAAGCTTGGCATGCTTATTCCTAATCTCTTCAGTCCCACTCCTTTCCAATAAAATGCAACTTTAAGACTGTCATATGCCCCTCTCCTCGCCATTTATTCTGGGCCTGATGGGAACCAAAGGGAGGGAGTGGGGAGCCGGGATGCTGGGTATGAAACAGCATCAACCCTACAACCATTCCTGGTCAGACTGACTGAGCTAAAGAGAGAACTCACTGCAACCTGGAGCTGCGGATCAGCCTTTGGGGACTGTGGCCCATTCTTTCTCCTCTCTAAATAAACTCCAAAATGAGTCTATGCTCACCATTGCTATCCTTCTATGAACATGACTCCCAGTCCACTCCAAGGCTCCTAGTCCAGCTGAAGGCATGGCATGTCACAGCAGCAGAGAACCCCCTGCTGACAACGCTGGACTTTGTTCACACTGGCTGGTGATCCAGAGGACTGTGAACAAGGAAGTGTCTGTTAGGTGAGTCAGTCTTGAGTTGCCTCTCTAGTGGCAGAACACAGGAACACTGACTGCCCTGGGAGGTGAAGGTCCTCAGGTCCACTGTGTGAACTCAGGCCGGTCAGTCCACTCCCTGCGCCTCCGTCCTGGTCAAATGAAGCATTTGGGTTGTATGTGGTGTCCACTGTCTTTCAGTCTCAAAGGCATGAAATGAACTCATCTCCACAGAAGAGGAGTTATGCCTCCATCGATATACTCCACGGATCAGGTCTGATGTTCTCATGGATTCAAGAGCCCCTTGTAGGTTATTAAGATGGTGTGGTTGCTATATTGTGTCCCCCAATGTATTGTGCACCCTAATAAACTTAATAAACTTATCTGGGGTCAGAGAACAGAACAGCCACTAGATAGACATAGAAGCCAGGCATGGTGGCACACATCTTTAATCACAGGACTTGAGAGTTCACATGCCTTTAATCCCAGGAAGTGATGACAGGAAGCAGAAAGGTATATAAGGTGTGAGGTTCAGGAACCAGAGGTCTTTTTAAGCTTTTAAGCTTTTTAGCAGCAGTTCAGCTGAGATCCCTTCAGATGAGGACTCAGAGGCTTCCAGTCTGAGGAAACAAGATCAGCTGAGGAGTTGGCGAGGTGAGGTTGGATGTGGCTTGTTCTGCTTCTCTGATCTTCCAGCATTCACCCCAATACCTGGCTCCAGGTTTGTTTTTATTAATAAGAACTTTTAAGATTCGTGTTACCATATGAACACCTGGTT